TGTCTTCCATTTCCATGTCTGCATTACACTATAATTCAATTTGGATGAGGCTTTTGTGTGTTACATTTGCTTGACCCAAGAATAAAAAAAATCAGGATTTGCTTATGCTTAGAATTTTTATCTCTTCTCCACATTTGAAGATGAGCATTAGCTAAAAATCACCTGGGCCTCGTATTGTAAAAAAATGGGATTTTGATACGTGGGGCTAATTTTTAGGTCATGTTTAATACAGTTATTACACAGTAAAGGAATTTAGTGTCATGTTCTGATTAAAATCTAGTTTTGGCTCCTTAGCATTTCTGCTCTTACTACTACTACTCAGAAGCAATTTTTTTAGCCTGGAAAAAGGATCTAAACTTTACTCTCCAAGCAATGGGACCACAATTCCAGGTGGAAAACTCAGCTGAACTTCCTTCTGCTCCCTCATCCGTCCAGGCATGAATTCACCACCCTTTTAGACAGCAAACATGGAATAAATAACTGGCATTTTAAAGACAGAAGCTTGCAAAGTCTCTCAGAATAATTCCCACCTAATCTGGGACGTCGTTGATTTGTTTTGTTTCTTCATAGTAGCAGTGTAACTGAGATATTTAAAAATTATCTGTTCTTTTGGTTATTTCCACCCTCACCCTACCCCCAAATGTGTTTAGATGCAGTTTATTATCTTTGAAAATCTCAGCCAGAAAGACTAAGTAAGAATAACAATGTAAGTCAGGGACAGGCAGCTGCTAATGCTGATAAGAGCCAGGAGGATTGATAATCGTCATCAGAGTTTAACTAAGCAAAGGAGTGAAAATCAATGGATATAAGAAATTTTCCAAGGAAATCTTGCTTTAAAATGTGGTGAGAAATTAGGGTGGGGGAATAACCTTGGTGCTGAATGTACTCTTGCATCTAAACATGTATGAATAAAACACTTCTTGGTAATTCAGCCTCTTAGCATGGAGATTTTAAACTATTCCTGTTAAGATTTTGAAGGAAAAATAAATAATAAATAAAATAAAATAAATAAATAAATTCTTTCTATGTTGAACCTTGGACTATTCAAATAAAGTTCTCTTTTGGGGCTGAAACTACTAAATAACCATGGGTTATAGGTATGATCCCAAAGGGTCTGAGATTTTTCTTAATCATAAAATATGTATTTTTTACTTTTATTTTTTTCTTAGTAAAAAAACCCCAAAAACCTGCAATGACAATGTTTTGCTTGTTTGCTGAAGTAAATCCATTGCTGTCAAATCTTTACCCAGCTTTGGGCTGATTTTTGTGAAAGTTGCTACTGATTACATTCCATTATCTTTCACTTCATAGCTTCAGTGCAGGAGAGAACACAGATGTTGGCATTCCTGACACTGAAAATTGAGCTTTTAAAAATGAGTCTAAAATTCTTTCCTGTTCATGAAAATGAAACAGATTCATGGTGCCCTCCATTGTTGCTTCCATAGATGTACTCCAAGTCCACAAAATAGTTTATTCCAAAACAACATTTGAAAAAAATATAGATACATTTGGAAAAGCATTTTTATAATTGCTTCTTCAGGTGAGATGTTTTTAAAATAACACAGAAACGTGTTCTGTCTTGGCATTTCAGCTTCCCCAGGTGTTTTGTCTTCTGAATGTCCCAATAGCTGAGTAGTGAATGTGTGAAGGTTCTACCCCCTTTTCCTGAATTAAGAAGTATTCTGACATTCTGACAAATTCAGTGACCCTGAATTTGGTCCTTAATGACAAAATCCATTAAAACTATTTTTCTAAGTCAGACAGCTGTTCTGAGTGTCCCTGGGTATGTTCACAGGCAGGATTTCAATTTAACCATCTGGAGGGACCTTCCACAGAATCCCAGAGTGGCTGGGGTTGGAAGGGACCTGGAGATCATCCACTCCAACCTCCCTGCAAACACCTGGAGCAGTTTCCACAGGATCACCTCCCTGGGGCTCCAGACAAGGAGATATTTCTTCTCCCTGAAATTATTTCTTCAAACAAGGAATGTCAGGAGTGAGGGCAGAATCGGGTAAGTCATTGTGCATCACGGAGATGTACAGAGAAGTCCATCATGGAAAGAAACATTCCTGATCATCTTTGCTCTTCCCAAGCATAGACATCCCAAAGGAAAAGAGAGAGATAAAATATAGAGTCAGTAATTTATGTGCAGAAACAACCCATTAGATGTAAGTGAAGGTGACAGTAAAACTCACAGACTACAAACCCAGCAGACTTTTTATTTTTGCTGTGAAAGATAGATGTTCCTAATTTTCCACCTGTGTGGGTTTATAATGGATTTACTCAGGGACTTGAAGCAGCTGTTCCCAAGGAGTGGCTGAGAGGAGAACTCTGAACCTCAATCTGCCTTTTCCCTGTCTTACTGCCATGCAGGTTCTGACTGGGGTGGAGTTAATTTTCCTCTCAGTAGCCACTACAAGGCTGTGTTTTACATCTGTGCAGAAATGTTGTCAGAATGTCAAATTTTAACCAAAGAACGTTTTCATCTGAATTGGGTTTATTTCCCCAAGACAGACAAAGTTCCTGAAAGGAATCTGCCCAGCAGGACTAGAAAATGGCCAGCAGGAATGAGAGTGTTTTGAAGAGAATGTTGGGTATATTTACTCCCAGTAATTACATTCACAGTGCTCAGGGAGTGCAGATTTGACACTGCCCTTGCTGTTCTTCTGGAAGGTGTCCCTGCCCATGGCAGGGGTTGGAACAAGATCATTTTAAGGTCCCTTCCCACCCAAACCTGTGATTTTGAGATACCTCTGAAAGCACTGAGCCCCTAGAGAAGGCCAGGCTGGAAGGTTTGTACCTCAAATCAGGTGTGACTGTGGATAAACCCACAGGTGTGGAGAGACTGAGACTCACAGATAGTTTTAATCAGCACAGGGAATGAAAACATTCCTGAATGAAAACATTCCTGAAAACAGCCCTGCAGAAGATTGCTGGAATGACAACACAAATGGATTTGTTTTCCTCCTCTGCACTGGAGCAGGGACACCGGTGGCCATTGGCTTTGTCACTAAGGCAACTACAGGCAGGAAGGGAGAAGAAAAGGTTTTACAGAGCAATTTCCTATGGCAACTCTGCAGCAGCTTCCCTAACACACAAATCCTGCCTTTCCTGGAGCAAAGGAATGCCAGGCTAGCTGCAGGGGAAATTATTTACCCCTGCAATATTAAAAGAGCAGACAAGGGCTGTGGGAGGTAAGAGAGGTGAAGCTGCTTTCTGCAGTGTGGTCTGGGCTCTGTTTCTCAGTCCAGGCATGTGTTCCATGAACAAAAATCAGTTTAGAGCAAGGCAAGATGCCTCCCTCCCACCTCCCCCGCCCACTCCCCCAGCATAACACAAACCAGAAGCTCCTCAACAAGCCAGAATGAGGGAATCAATTACATCTCTGTCTCTTAGGAAGAAGCAGAGTCTATAATGCAGATGTTTTTACAGCTGGGAGTACTGCTGATGATTTAATGCTTTAGGATAATTGATCCCTAGCATAGTTGTTTTTACAGATGAAGAAGGGGGAGAGGGTTTGGGGAGAGGGAAGGGAAAGAGAATGATAAATGTTTGCAAAAAAGGGAATGAGCCGCCATAAAATGCATCTCTCTCTGACAACACGTGGCACTTAAACATAATATTTAACAGAGATGGTTTGGAGAGAGGCTTAGCACACGAAACAGCAGCAGTTCCAGCCCTTGCTGAGCCCTCAGTGCCTCAGGAGCTGCCACTGTATCCTGTGAGCACAGTGCTTCCCTTTTTGCATAAATCCTTGGCTTTGCTGGCAGCAAGGAGGGCAGGGAAGAGGCAGAAACACAACTCAGAGCTTTGTTTACTGCTCTGGTAGGGAGTTCTCCCTCTCACTGCATTATCTGCACTGGCAGAGGATCAGGTTTGCTATTGATGGCTTTGGGGTGGTATCAAGCCATGCCACTTCTCACCCCCATGATCTCATGATGAGCAGCCAGCCTTGGTATTTGGGAGATCACTGTGCATTATTTATCTATCAGGATCGTTTCAGAGCCCAGCTTAAACAAGCAAATCCCAGTCCCAGGACACTGACACATGATTTTTCTTTTTCTGCTTCATGCATAACAATTGAGAGGGACCACAGTGACCATAAAAACCTCCAGCTGATCATTTATAATTATCCCTACAAACCTTAACAGATGAAATAGTTGTAAGAGCTAAACATCCTGAGGAGAAGTGAGACAGAGAAATTGTCCTTTCTTGCCTGAAGTCAAAACCCAAAACTTGCAACAGTGTTAAAATAGTAAGATAAAAGGCAGGTCTTTAATGGAAGCTTCCAGCATCAGATTTCTATAATTTTTATAAGTTTAGCAAATTAAAATATTTAACAAATATTGTCCAGTTGGAAGAGCAGTTGGTTAGGTAATTTTTCCCTCTGTTCTGCCCCATTGGGGTTGGTCCAGAGACTTCTTTGCCCCATTTTTTCTTGTGTCTTCTCAGATTCTGGTTGGAAAACAAAATGTCTTTTTGGAGGTTCTCTTCTTGAAAATAAAACTAAGCAGTATTTCAGCCACGTGTTGGAAGCTTAGCTTATTGCTCTGAAGAGAGGGGGAAAGGGCACCAGAAGTTATAACCATGTACTGGCAGTCTACAAAGCTACAAATATATGAAAAATGTACAGAAAGCAAAAATCTGTTCAGCAACAGAAGCCAAGTCTGGATTTCTAATAAATAGATTCCAAATTGGAATAAATAAATAAACACAAAACCAGTATTCCTGTACTGTTCAGTTAGTCACAGAGGTTCTGTGTAGCCTCAAAATCCAGGTTTATAGTTTTCCCAAATTATTAGATTTGGTGTATCTGATGGATTTAATTGATTATACATAACAGTAGTAATTGTTATTGCCATAATTGATGCGTCACAAGAAATAAAAATAGATTTACTATTTTCTCCTCTCCCTGCATAATTATTTGGAATATCGATCTGGTATAATCACTTTTTATTTTTAAATCTATCTTGACACATATAATTACTCATATCCTCAGAACTGCTTGGCATGGATGTTTCTTTGCTAATAATGTCAAACCCAGAGTAACTTCTACCAAAATATATGATCTAATTTTGGATACTATACAGAAAACTGGAGGTTATTTTAAATTCAATGAGAGACTAAAATTTTCTCCTAGAGTCTGTGGGTGACATTTGCAGGTAGTGTAAAAACTCCTAAAGATTTCACCTCCATTCAGTGCATTCAGTGGCATTTTTCAGATTTATTCCTCTGGAGGTGTGAGATCAGGAAGGCTGATACTTTCTACCTTTGCTAAAACATCCCCAGGGCAGAAATTCATGTGTTTCTGATATCACACTTTTAGGACATGTGTAGATGTGTGTGTGGAGATGATTCCTGTAAACACTGTCCAAACTTGCCACCTCTGTACAAACATTGTGGCCTAGGGCTGCTCTCATCTGAATCTTCTCCTCTCTCATCTGAAAGAGAAGGGAGGAAACACAAGGTGATTTAAGTTGAAGCAGGGATGTTTTTTGGTAACCCTAAATCATGGAAAGGGAATGTGATGTGGACTGAGATGGCCACATTCTCCATGAACAATTAACTGCTGAATTTCTCTCTATTGCCTGAAGTAGGTAGGAAAGTTTTCCTGTGAGTTATAGTTGAGGTAAAACCTTGACAGAGATTCTGAATGCTCACTCCTCTGAAATGTTTCAGGAAAGATTGCATTTAAACCTGAAAATTTGTCTGTTTCTCATATGAGTTGGTATCACAAAAAACCCAAGACCTTTCCCTACAATCTTCACCAAATCTTTTTTGTCATAGACAGAAAATGGACAAATAAACAAGATTTGAGAACTCATGGGTCAGCTCAGTTGCCAAGTCAGCTGCTGCTCTCAGGCCACTGAGTTCAGCTGAAGTTTGTTAGAATGTTGGATCTCAGTCCATTTTTAATCATGGAGAAATGTAAACAGGGCTTCTATTCATAATAAATGTAAACTATTTGATCAATGGCACAGACTTGAAGGACTGTGTCGTAAATGCAGAACAGGATAGTGATTCTTGTAAATGCTGTTTATCTGGTGTTAGGGTTTTTAAGCCAACAGCAGGCTTCCACAGACTCTTTGTTCCTCAAGGAAGATAAAACAAGTGTTCAGCAGATTACCTTAAATATGGAGAGAGCCTGGGCAGGAGGCAGTGTTAGAATGCAGCAGTTCCTGTCCTGGGTGAAACAGAGAATTACACATCGGTGATTAGAAGGATTGCAGCTGGACCTGTCTGAATGATCATCCCCAGATATCAGCTCCACCTGATTTCCTTCCAGCGAGCTGATGAAATAACAACCTATAAACACATCCTGGAAGACAGCAGCCAACCAGCAAGTCAACATTCCCTGGAAATGTAAAGCAGCTGCTCCATAAGGGAAAGGTTTTACATCTGCCCTAACCTTCTCCCAGCCCTGGAAGGAAATTCTGGGATAGAGAATGAGTGGGAAATGCAGGTTTCTTGGAAAGACCTTCACTTTATATGTTTTTTTTCTTTAGCTCATAATATTTTTTGCACCCTGAAGTACCTTGTACCATCCATGGGTTGGGTTTGAGGTAAGGTCCCTTCAAGACCTTCATCCCAAGTACCTGCTCAGCAGCTCATTATTTTGTTACAGCACATTGCTATTGCAACAGGTTTGCTCCAGAAGAAAATGAATCATGCCTTGAAGATTGACTCTGTGGACTTGATGTGCATCAACTACAAGGGAGTGTGGGCTGGGTGAGTAATGGAAATGCCTGCATTTAGCCAGCACTGCTTTTGGAGTGATGACATTGAGGGCTTGGCTCTTCCCTGAGCTGCCAAACAGCCACAGCAACAGAGGATTGCAGAAGGCTGAAGAGCAGACCAAGCACTTGGGCCTCAAGGGGTGGAGGCTGCTGAGAAATGTTTGTTTCCAGCATTTCCCATCACTGTTCCTTTATGTGAGCCTGTAGGACAAAGGGAGTGAGCCTCACAGATGGAAGGGGGGTGGATGCTGCAGGTGGGTGTGGGCAGGTTTGTTCAATATTTTGAGATGCTATAAAAATGGCCTCTGCAAAAAGCCTACAACTATAACCAGGAATGGTCCTCTGGTGGCTTAGACACCACTCGTGATCAGGGTAACTGAGAACATGGAAAGGCTGGACTGGGGCTGATGAAGTTTATATAAAATATGTGTGATAGTGAGACAACAAATCCATTATGTTTTATGTGGAGATTTTAGTCTTCTTTTCAAGAATTTCTGTCTGCAGCTCAACAAGGGTGTATATAAATAACTCATGGCTGAGTTTGGGTTTTACAACAGGGTAGGAATACACTGCAATAATTTAAGTTAGAAAACCATGAACCTAAAAGTATTTCGATTAACTTAATAGTGGGTTAAATGTAAGGTAATTAAGAGCATCCACTCAGTCAACCATCCTCCAAGTCAACATGAAACAGCAAAGGAATGCTAAAAAAAACTTCATGAGTTTTTTGAGAGTGGGAAAACTGCAAGGAGCTGTTGTGGTGGAGGTTGTATTCCTGAATACCAGAGAAACACTAATTTTAACCAAATAATCCTTTAATCTGATTTGGATTTATTTCCCCAAGACAGACCACATGCCAAGAAGGAATCTTCCCAGGAGGGTTAGAAAATGGACAGTGGGAATTCGAGTGTTTTTGAAAAGAAATTGGGTATATTTACCTGTTACCCTGAAAACTCAGCTTCTGAGATTGCTGACATGGTTTTCTAAGGACTTTCCCAGGACAGTAACTGTAAACATAGATATGTGTACATTCTTTCTGATACACATCTTGTGATGGGCATCTCTCATAGCCAGTGCAGTGGGAAAATGTTATCCTGACCATCCAATCCCTGGCCATGGTCAAAAGCCTATAAATCCTGGGAGGAAAAATAAACTTTCTCTTCTTTTCACCACACCTCGACCTGTGTCCATGTGATCTATTCATCTTCAGCGGCAACATTTACCCACAGTAAATATGGAACTTTTCAGTGCCCAGAGAGTGCAGCAACCTCCTGACACTGCTTTTGCTATTCTGACAGAAGGTGTCCCTGTCCATAGAGGATTATGTCTGTACATTACATTACAGAGCACTGTAATTCCCCTTCCAACCTAAACCACTCTGGGATTTGCCCTGACATTTACCTCCCTTCCTCTCTGTCATCCCCAGGAGCGATGTCTCCAAGGTCACAGCCATTTATCTTGTTTTCTTCTCCTTGTTTATTTCCTCATGTTTCCAACTCCTCTTTCTTTTCTTAAATCATTGTTTCCTTTCTCGTGGACATGGAAAAGTTTGGGGCAGTGTTGCCATTTCATGTCTTTCCCAGTAATGAGGTCTGGCCAAAGAGCACTCCAGCCTGTGGCTGTTGTGATCTTTCTCAGCTGTTCTGTGGAGAAAAAAAAAGACAACAACAAAAGGATGGAAAGAAACCAGCACACTGTTGTCTCCATGTAAATAGGGATACATGTTACTTTCCCCCAGTGCATGAACATAAATTACTCCCAGATTTTGGTGAATTTTCAAAGAGGATGTCTTATTTAAATTTGAAGGGAAGATTTACTGTCTGTGAGCAGGACTGTGAGTGGCAGCATCAGAGACACTGCACTTGGCTTTAAATGGGGCATTTGGGGGAGATTAAACATTTGATTAAACTAATTAATTAATTTTAATTAAATTAATTATTTTTGATTAAATAATCAAAGAATCATAAAACAGCTTGGGTTGGAAGGGATATTTAAAGGTGATCCAGTCCAAGCCCCTTTGGGGTTTCTCAGAGTCACAACCAGCCTGACCTGGGGTGTTTCCAGGGATAGGGCATCCACAACCTCTCTGAGGAACCTGTGCCAGTGTTTTCCCACTCTCATAGGAAAAAAACTTCCTCCATATATCTAGTTTGACTCTCTACTCTTTCATTTTAAAGTCATTACCCCTCTTCCCATTAAACAGAACCTGTTAAAATGTCTTTTCCCATCTCTCTTATAAGACCCACTAAGTGAATGCAGAGGAACTGTTAACGCTGCCTTAGGTACTGAAGAGCTGCCTTTCCTTGTCTGGCTTGTCAGGGATATAATTCCTTTTGATACTTTAAAATCATTCTTAAGAGAATTACTTATTTATGATGCTTTTTCTGAGTGGCCAGGCCAGGAATGCCTTATAAGACATCGCTGAAGTATCTAATTATGACTTATGGCATAATTATGATATGGCCACGAACAGCGTACTGTGAAATGGAATTGGAAAGAGCAGATTCTACAGAAACACAGAATTTTTAAGGCTGGAAAAGACCTCCAAGTCTGAGTCCAGCAGTTCAGCCAGAACCACCCTGTTCATCCTTAACCCGTGTCCCCAAGAGTCACATCCACAGGTTCTCGGAACACTCTCAGGGACGGTGACTTCATCCTCCCCTGAGATTCCCTTCTTCCAAGCTGTAGGAGCACTGCAGCCACATCAGGCAGGAGATTTTTCAGGATGTGAGGCAATGGGCACAAATTCAATTACAGAAAATTCAGCTTAAGCATAAAATACCTTCTTTGCCATGAGGGTGATCCAATACTGGAGCAGGTTGCCCAGGGAGATCGTGGAGTTTCTGTGCTCAGGAATATTCCAAACCTTGTTAGAAACAGCCCTGGGTGACCTGATCCACTTGATTCCCCTTGGATTGGTCTCATTAGATTAGAGATCTCCAGAGATCCCTTCCAGCCTTGAGTGTCCTGTGATTCTCTTAGATTTAATGAAGATAAATCTGGAGGCACAGAAGGGCAGCAGGTGAATCCACAGAATTACAAATGCATCAGAATGATGTGGTTTAGGGGGAGAAGGATGCACAACTCATTTTTGACTCCAAGGTTGCTCTCACAGCTTCTGTGTTTCATCCTGACACATCCCATGTCTTGATAAAATTATCTGAAAATTGGTTCCAACAATGGACAGGAAAACCTGCTTTTTGTAGCAACATTGTTTATGGGCAGAGGCCACTCCATTTTGGAAAACTGCAACAGATTTACAAGCACAGAGAGGATTTTTGCTGTGCAATGTGATTATTTCCAGAAATCAGCAATTAGCTTCATCTTTTTTTTTGAGAATTGCCCTGTCCTGTAGCCCTTCTGAATCAAAACAGAGTAATCCATTTCTTTTATTTTGAGTGAAAAATATTCTATCAACCCATCTCTATCCGACAGGATGAAAATTTCCTGATGAACAAAAATGCATTGAAATGTCAAAAATTATATTAGCTCTACTATGACAACAAATACAATTCCTGTGGATTTCATGAATTTGTAGCTGTCTTTTTTGTTTTCTTCAAAAGCTTATTTGCAGGAAGGAACTACGAAAAAAAAAAGAAAAAAAATTACAAAACAAACCACAAGAAACCTCAACAAGCCAAACAAACACATTGAAACACTTCTAATTATAAATGATATTTCACAATGTACTGCAATAAAGAAATCATGGTATTGCACTGCAGCAGAGTGTTTTAAGTGTCAGACATGGATAATTTGGGCAATCATGTGCTGCAAAATTGCTGTAAGATTTTGAAGAATTATTTCAGTGACATGTTAAGTGTGACAAGAAAAGCCTATTCACAAACACTTGCACATTGTCATATTTGAATAATGGACGATTAATAACATTTCCATCAAACCTTTTCAGGTGATTAGGGCTAAGCACATGAGACAGAGAAATGAGAGATGATTTGCAGCTGTACCTTCAGGTGCTTCCTTCAATCCCTCCACCTCTGGGAGGAATCATAAAAAAAAAATACTCTGATTTTGGAAAAAAGTACCAAAAACCCTGATGAAGTCAACATAAAGGACTGATAAGATGGCCACTGGATTTCCAAGATCCTTCTTGGAGACTGGTCCTCAATTTAGAATCACAGACTGGTTGAGGTTGGAAAAGCCCTCTAAGACCACAGAGTCCACTCATTAACCCAATACTGCCAGATCCCCCACAAAACCTTGGCCCTAAGCACCAAATCCTAACAGTTTTTAACATTTCCATGGACAGTGATCCCACCCCTGGGCAGCCTGTTCCAATGCCTGACCACTCTTTCAGTGAGCAAATTTGGAGGACAACTTATTCTAAGAACAACGTGGTTATGGTGAATTACTTACCAAATAATTAAAATGTTCACGTTTATGGAGACAAAATTAAATTGCTTGGAAATTCACAGGAAAAAGAATCCTGTTTATAATCTTTCCCATGAAAAGCTGGTCCAATTCTCTCTGAATCAGTGCTGTTTATCCAGCTGGTCACCTGTTCTCCTCTAGGTACATGTATCACCAGAACTACACAATGGGAAATAATGACAGTCAACATCCCAGAAAACATTTCAGGATTGCAAAAAAAATTCCTATCTGCATCTGGTTAAATGCGAGAATTTTCAGAAGTTTTTCACTGCAAGCCCAAAGGAAATGATCCATCTGAGAAAAGCCAGTAGTGTGTTGGTTGTGCTCCCCACCCAGGAGCATCAAAGGGTTTTTAGGAGCCAGGACTTCCAAAAGCCAATCATTCCTCAGTTCTCATCCTCAAGGTTGTAGTGGAAGATCGTGGAAAAATTTGGAACAGATCCTCTGATCATTTTTGGGTTATCAGCCACCCTACAACCGTTCCTTCAGTGAACAGCCAGCCAGAATTTCACTTCAAAATGCGCAAATCTGTGGTTCTATTTCAATTATTCATCAGAAACTTGTGGATTGGACTTGACTCCCTGAGCTTTCATTTCTCTGAGCTTCCCTGCATAGACTAAGACTCATTCTTGAAGAAAATGGGTGTAAACTTTTGCCCAATCTGTCAAACTACCCATGCACTGCACAAATATGCACTGACAGGTTTTTTGAGGAATTTTTTTTTAAAAAACAAAACAAAACAAGGAGTTTTTTACTGAACCTGCAGTTTAGAGTTTCATAAATCTTCATTGGACAAAATTTGCTTTCTGAGTCATGACTTCTCGTGATTTATACCTCAATGTATGCACTTTGTCACATTGTCACTTGGAAGGGTTTTTAGAGAGAAAATGGAGATGTGAGTGAAGTTAAATGTAACACTTGGAACCAATCAGGAACATTTAGATCAATTACTCTGATTGTCCACTATTTTGTTAGTTGGGCAAAAAGAAATAAACAAAAAACTCCACAATATTTCTGAGAGAAAATCCTTATTGTGAGTGTTTTTTTAGCTGAAAACATTTGGCAAGCCCCATTTACCACTGCTCTGCTCTCAACATGTGACAGATTCATCCATCTCACACATGAGCACCTCTTCACGCTGGGATGAAATGCAGCCACCCACAGCTGAAATTCACATTACAGGAGTGCACAAGCACATAGGAAATGCTTTACAAATGGGAAAGCAGGCGTGAGTGCCTAAATTCTCAGCTTTATAAAGTGCTAATCCTCCTCTCTTCCCACTCAGCTGTGCTAATGGCTCACCTACAACTCCACTATTGAAAAATCTGCATTTCTGTGTATAATGTGTGTCTGTATTTCCTTCCTGTTGTACCTACCTAACCCTGTTCATCAGCTCACCTTTCACATCCTGATACAAAGCTTTGAATGGTGAGCCCAATTAAGAGGATTCACATTCCCATCAGCTGTTTTCCCCTGTTTTTTGGGTTTTTTTCCCTTTGGTTGCTTGTTTGTCTATCAGTGATTAAGGCTGAAGTTCCACTCATTAGTGAAGTGTATTAAATGGTAATATCAATAACTGACAACAGCACTGCACTGAGACTGTTCCAAAAATCTATATCAACAACCCAAAGAGAGCTTTTGGAACATTGTGTCTCCAGGCATGGTGGAAATGTTTACTCCCTGCTTCCTGCCTGGCTCAAGATCGATGTCAGGGATAGAATAAAGTACCTGCCAAACACAGTAGAATTGTGCTCCATGATTTCAAAAACTCTCTTACACTCAGAGGCACCAAAAGAAGTTTAGCTGGATTTGGGGGGGAAAAATAGATTACAAAAAAATTAAAAAGAAAATAACCATCACACCTCTACGTGAATTGCTTCAGCAACCATCACTGACAAAGGCAAGTTGATATATGCTTATAACTTTTACTCTTAGAAATAGAAATTACTTAGAAATATCTTGTAATATTGAGGTTTCAGTCTAAATAATTTTCCATTTTGGGGAACTTCTGTGACAGATGCTACATAGAAATGTAAATCATAACTGTCCTTATCATAAAGATCTTTCAAGACATAGCAGATGGATGAAATAAAACATTGGCAGTGGTGCTGGGAGAAGTTAGTTGCAGAATTAATGGGATATTTAGGCCAGGAGAGGAAGATGAACATTTTTAAAACCAGCTTCAAAAAAGAATCACAACTTATCAATAACCTACTTATTACTATTTAGCAATAAATACTAGTAATAAGTACTCTAATTGCATGATGGAGAAATCTTACTGAAAGAGAAAACTGTGTGTGCCTACTTCTGTGTGGGCAGGGGATGGCTTAGTTTCACAAAGAAATACAGGTTATGCAACCACGTTGCTTGTCTGCGTACATTTTTAATAATTTTCACCTAATAATGGCAAATTTCATATGTATTTGACAAAATATCAGAATCTCAACGATATTAAAATCCAACAAGAGTTGAAGGTAGCCTCAGTGCCATTTCTTTCATGCCGGTGGGGAAGATTTGAGACAAGGTCCGTGTCCAGATGCCAAATCAGCACCGTCTTTTCTTGCCTTTCTGCCCAAAAAGGTCAATATGTGGTGCTTGAGGGTCAGTGGTATCACCAAAGGAGTGAAGGGGCTTGGGGAGACAAAGGCCAGGTCATGAGGGACTTGAGACATTGAGTAGTAAAATAAATGTGAAAAGTTAGAGTGGATTCTTGAATTTAGTAAGATCAAAGTGATTGATTTGGAGTGAATTCCACAATTTGAGGGTGTTGCATTCCAACAGAGCTACAATGGGAGACCAAATGTGCTGCTCTGCTCCTCAGTTTCGATGACAGCTTGAAATCTTGTGCCTCTTTGGTAGGAAAAGGATCAACAGGGCTTCAAGTCTGAGTTGGCTTGAAAACATCATTTGTTTTCTTAAAGAGAATAATCAGACACAATGTCCCTGTCCCAAATCCACTTCATTCCAGAGTCCTCCCATATCCTGCTCCTGAGGGCCACTGAGGATGAGC